TAGAACATTTGCCCATGGAGGAAAAGTAATCACAGAGGGAATTTCTGGCAGAGAAAACAATATGAACAATAACAACTAACAGCTCATGATTATTAAGGACTTAATTCAGGTCAGGTCCTGTTTTGTAGAAATCAGCTCTTTTATTCCTGTAGGCACTATTTTTGCTCCCATTCCACAAATAAGGAAATTGAGGTTTAAAGCTATCACAACCCAAATAGATTGCTCTGACCTCAGAACCCAGGTTTCTAATTGTTGTTTGACCACAGAGCATATAGCTGGCAAGAAAGGAGCTCTCTCTCTAGAAATTTGAGATACATTTAGGTAAGTGTGGAGGATGTAGGTGAGAGACTAGTAAAGCCAGATATGTGGATAAAGACCAGAGGCTGAAGGAACTTTAGTACTATTGCTAACAGGTTGGGAGTGGGAAGGTAGACATTACAACAACAAATGATTGGTGAAAATATAACAGTAGCTCAGTGATGTATTGTATCATATTCTATTGTACTATATTCTACTGTATTTATTATATCCTATTGTATTTTCTCACTGCTACTATGTTCCTATGCTTCAGGAACTGGCAAAGCCATACTCTAAGGCAGAAATGACTGTCTCTACATATCCACACAGTGTCCTCTTCAAAACTGGAGACAGAAGTCAGTACAATTTACTAAGTATTTCTTAAGTATCAAAACTACAAGATACTGTGCACAAAAAGCATTTTCTGGGATGGATATGTGGCTAACGTGGTACAGTACTAGTCTAAAAAGTACTTGTTGACCAAAAAAAACCCAATTTGTATTATATAAACTTACAGGTACTCATTAACTTACAAAAGACAAGTGTATAACATAGAATTTTAACTTCACTACAAAACAACTGCAAATTAAAGCAGATATTTTCTTGTCTATCCAATTTCAATGACTGCTAAATACACCATGAAATCCTCGCTTGCACTCTTCCTTTGCTAGGGCAATTGAAAGAGGATTCAGTGGAGAATTCTGGAGCCCTAGAAGACCTCAGGGCCACTAAAAAGAGGCTGGTGCTTGAGTTGATTCTTCACTCTACAGTAGACTTATTCAGAAGAGCTGCCTAACTAAAAAAGACAGCAAGAAAAAAAAATGAACCTACTGTAATTTAGGTCTGACTTTATTTTTGAATCCTGAAATATAATGAATATGCAGATATCCTCAGCCTCTACAATAAGCCATTGGTAAATATGTGCTTAACCTTCTTTTAGAAACGAGGGCAGTAAATTTAAAAATTTCTTTGTGGCTCCACAATTAATAAGACATAACTAAGCCATACACATGTTTATGTTGTAAATGCCCAGGTAATGTGGAGAAACAATCATATGCATGGACAAAATGGGCCTTCAGAACCTGACTGGGAGAATTCCTTATCTCCTAAAAGGCCAATGTTTTAGCTGCCAGGGTATAAGCTTCTCCTCTTAGTGAATAATCTCCATTTTAGAGTCACTAGTGCTCAGTCAACAATGATGCTTTAATCAGCATCTCTCAGTTTTCTCCTAGGTAAAAATGGACAGGAAAATTCTACTTTAATTATTTGTTGAGAATTTATACAACTACAGAACTGAGTTGACAATGAGTCAAAAGTTATCTATCTAAAACACAAGCTCTAGCACAGACAATCCTATTCCAACACCATGAGTGGGGTGATGTTGCCTTGGGTAAACTTGATAAAATACAGATTTCATTGCTCTCTCCCTCCCTGCTTCCATTATGCCCTGCAGGGACCTATTTGCTATTTTATTCTTCACATTTTAACATAACCATTCATTTGAAGATAAGGTCAACAGTTTATTCATCTTGTCATATGAAGGGAGTTAAAACATGCCACCCTAAAATATACCACTGACTGCTTCAAATTGAAGGCAACTGAGAAAGAACAGATTAAGAAATGCTCTTTCACCTTTCCTTCTCTACTTAAGAGCAGGGCATAAAATTTACCATGACAAACATACCTTCCCTACACAAGAGGAAAATATTATTTATCAAAGATAAAGGTCAAAACTAAATTGTGTCAGATGCCGATGGCTCACACCTGTAATCCTAGCTACTCAGGAGGCTCAGATCTGAGAATCACAGTTCAAAGCCAGCCCAGGCAGTAAAGTCCATGAGACTCATATCTCCAATTAACCACCAAAAAACCAGAAGTGATGCTGTGGCTCACAGTGTACAGCGCTTGCCTTGAGCTGAAGAACTCAGGGATAGCATCCAGGCCCAGAGTCCATCAGTCCATGACTGACAAAAGCAAAAAACAAAACAAAACAAAAAATTATGAAAGATAATGATCAAGACCAAATTCAACATGTTAAAGCAAACTACATATTTAAAACTGTATTTTTCCATTAGTTTCCCTCACATGTTTGCCAGTCATTTTCCTACAATTTACTACCTCTCATCCAATGAGTTTACTACTCTTTGTTTGAAAATGTCATATAAAACTCTTCTTTGGGTCTGCACTTCTTTTTTGGGGGGGGGGTCTGTACTTCTTATACATATATGAACACCTTTTTGTATATATTCATCAAGACACTAACATCAAATACAAAATGCATGTCCTTCTCTTTTTAACCTGTCTTCTGTCCATTTGATCATCAGGTCCAGGCACAGGAGCCAACAGAATAAAGTCCTTTCCCCCCAAGAGATGCCAACAGCTCTCTCTAGAGCCAACCTGTGACATAAAAGAATGTTCATCACTTTATCCCACAACTCTGCTAAGAAATAATTACAATCATATGTCATTCTACAACTTGGGAAAAGGGAGGACCCACATTGACGTGACTGTAAAATACCAAATGTGAAAGGCCAAGCTTGCACTGAACCTCAGTCTTTGGACTACAACTTACATGTCCCACTGCATAATGTGTAGCCTTTTAAGGATGACATGGGAATGGCTTAAAAGTTGACAGACCTCGGCCTGAATGCAGGTTCACTCTATCCTTTACCCTGTATATCCCTAGGCATATCAATTAAACTCAAGACATTCAGTTTCCTCATCTATAAAATGGAGTTGAAAACAATAATACTTACTTTTAAAGATTTTATAAAAGAATAAAAGTTATATTACATGAAACAGACCAGGGCTTTAGTAGGTATTAACTAACTTATAATTGTTACTATATGTGGAGGAGGCGAGGAGGGGGGAAGAAACTTATTAAACCCTACTTATCACAACTGAACATATTAACATATGTTCAGCAACCTCACAGCAACCTGTGGAGTAAATGGCATTCGTTTGAGGAAACTAAAATTCACCGATATTTAAGTAACTTGTCCAAGTTTATGTAAGTAACAAGGGGCAGTGCCAGCATGTACACTTTAAAGTCTCTGCATACAAAGTCTTTGCTCTTTGCAGTCTGTCTACATCCCAAAGTCTCAGGCAGCTGTGCCCCCAAATGTCTGAGGTCAATGTGAGGTGCTGTACATGCAAGATCAGAGCAGACTCGTGTATAACTTGGAGTGTGGATTAAAGATGTTTGGAGGGGGTCAGAGATGTAGGTCAGTAGCAGAATATGTGTTGAGTATATGTGAGGCCTTGGGTTCAGTCTTCAGCAGTGCCTCTTCCATAAAAATGATGCTTGGAACATGTGCAGAGTGAAGGAAAACTAAAAGGGAGACAGCCAACAGTAAATGTCATGTTCCTTAATTTCCCTGTGAGCCAATAACTATATAATAGTAAAAATGGCTCATTAAGATTTCCTTGTGCTAAAAGTCCTGAGGTCAAAAATACCAAAATTGTAATACCAACGTATTATTTCCTTGTGATTTTGCTACCATTTGTTATGTCCTGGAAATTGTTCTCAAATAAACAGCGGAAGCTCAGGAAATCACAGGTAATGTCTGATCTTTACTCCTAAGAAAGGAAACCATATTCTATTAGATTGATTTCTGATTTGCATCAATAACACCAAGCCATGTTGGAAGATGATTCAGGTAACTGAAACCATGGTAGATGGCTCCTACTGAGAAGCAAATACTCTTTTACAATAACATACACAGACATGTTTTTAAAAATGTTTTCTAATATTTTTGTTTGTCGCTCACAGCTTCCTTCAAGCTGAGAATAAACAGGCCTTTGCATTCTCCAGTCAAGGCCCAGGAAACCATGCTGTGAATGATTTTTTATTCATGCAATCAGGTTAGGACTTGTAGAAGGGTAGTGCAGGAAAAAAAAACAAAAAAAACCAGGGTGAAAGGTGTATGTTACTGGTGTGATGGAAAGTGGTTCTCAAGGAAGAGACTCTTACACAAACTCTTCACACCTGAAGCCACAAGGCTGTGAACCCAGAGAGATACTCAAGAGCAGGCCAAGAAACTAGATTTGGAGAAAACTTTTAAAAAGGGAGGGCGGGGGGTGATTGGCCTTTGCTAAGTGTAGATCTAAGGTTCTGTCCTATTTAATACACCTTCCAATGAACTTTTCCCAAGTATAGCTGATGTCCAATAAAGCTAGCAGATCTCCTAGGAAACTCATTCCTAAGGGACTACCTGTAAACCCAGAAGTTTTTGGTCTTGACATAATCAAACGCCCAGTAGAACTCTCACTCTCCACCACCAACCCCCTTCGCAGCGCTACCTCCCTCCTCGCTAACAACCTCTGCCCGGTGGCTTCTGCTCTGCCCCAGGCCACTGAAAGGCCTCAGGCTGCGCGGAGCCGCGGGTCTGGCGGGAGCCCCGCTGCTCGCCCTGCAATCACCATTATTAGGCACACAGCCCCGCTCGGCTCCCCGGGAGCCGTCACTCTGCAGCTCCTCCGGTGCAGGCGCGAGCAGGCAGGAATGGTGGGAAAAGGAGCTGTGCCAGCTGCATGCTTCAGAATCTCCCTCCATATGCATTTGCCAAAGGAACAAAAAGAAAATCACTGCCAGCAAAAGACAACTGAGATGAGGATGCGGTGGGACCGCGGCTGACTCGGTGCCTCTAAGCAGCCAAGGGGCTGGTCAACCACGCGTCCGAGCCACAGATCCGACTCGTTACCTTCAGGATGCAGGCCATGGCGCTCCGCCGGCGCTCCGGCCACCGAGCGGCGGGCGCGCCTGGATCACGGGCAGACCCGGCGGCAGGCTGGAGACTGGCACCGCGGCTGGACCGCCCCAGCCCACATTCCCGCAGACCCAAAGAAGGGGACCGCGGCGCGAGCTGCGCGGCCACAGGCCCCGCCCCCCCGCGCCGTGGCCCCGCCCCCGGCTCTACTCACTGGCCGGCGGCCCGACAGGCTCCGCCCCCTGCGTCACGTGCTGTGGCTGGCGCCGGCGCCCGCCGCAGCCTCTAGTTCTCCAGCTGCTGCTACTTCTTTTCCTGTTCAGTGTTCTGTAGTTCAACGTATGCAAAATACTATGCATCCGGCGGTGATCCGGGTCCCGCCCGAGAGGGAGAGCGGTAGTTGCTCAGTGTGCTTTCACACATCAGAGCACGCCTAGAAGGCACTTCCCACTTTAAAAAGTTGGCTGGGTTTGGCGTGTCCCGCAGCAGGCTTTGGGCACATCCGAGGGTTCTTGGAAAGTAGCTGGCGAGGTTCCGCACATGCTCCCCGTCCCCCCCAATCCCCAACCCCGGGGAGCACTCCGCACAACCCGGCCTGATGGGCTTATCGAACATTTTCGAGTTGGCAATCCAGAAAGCTCCTTGCTGGGTCCTCCGACCCGAACTCGATCCCTCAAACAAAGCGCGGTGTGGCAGCTGTACCTAAAAGGTAGGTGGCCCGGGCAAAGAGCTTGCGGTTGGTAGGCATACATGTGTGGCCCTCTTGGTCTGTCAAAGAAGCCTGCAAAGAGGCCCCAAAATGTCTACCCCAGAGAAATTAGCCTTACTGGAAGCCCAAGCTAGTTTGCTCACCTAGATTCCATCACAGTATTTGAAGGAACTCCTTCATCAAGATACTTTACTACTTTAGCTCACGGTCCTTTGCAGGCCAGGAAAATTTACTTGTTTCATTCTTTCCTTTATTGATTCAGCAAGCTTTTGTTGAGTTACTACCAAGTGGAGGAATGAATCTTTTATAAACTGTGACTGAATGGAGGAAAAAATCTCTGAAATACTATAGGATCTGTCAGGACTAAGAGATTCACGGCATGGTCTTTGTACATCATGGAAAGATCACAGTTAAGTAGAAAAGATAAAGAGATGCATGCTAACAGACCATGATATTTAACCAAAAAGGAAGCAAAGCTTCAAAGAAATGTGAGCAAGAGTGGGCAGAGTACATTATTGTCTCTTCCTTGTACCTCTCTTTAATTTATAATACTACATAACTATAATAGTATCTGTCCTCACCAGAGTTACATGAGGTAATTTTCATTAGTGCATAAACCTCCATTCCTGGCACTTCTGTGCACTTTTAATGAATATCTAAAGTAAACCTTCCACCAGAGCTAGCTTATGGGAAAAGATTCATTGGTAGCTTGCTATCCATCTTGAGTATCTCCAAAGGATGAGTGCTGACGGGGCAGACATTTAGCATTTGGTGGCTTCGGTGTTCCATGATGTTTTCTAGGCTTCATCATCAACTTTTTAAAACTAATTGTATTTTTGAATTAGCATACATTTGTAAGGGGTAGGGTTCATTGTGATATGCCCATGTGTGCACACGGTGCATTTGGAACAAATTCACCTCTTCCATAGTCCTCCTCCTCCTCCTCCTCCCTGGATGGTTTTCCTTCTGCTGTCCTCACATACATGTGTGTATGTGTAATGTTTATGATCCTCAGCATCCTCTCATCTCCAATTTCCCCTTCTAGCTTTCCCCCTCTACCCACTTCAACGTTTTCTCCAACTCCCACCCACCCATGTTCACATTTCCCAAAATGTAACTTTTTAAATTAAAACCCACAAGTTATCCTCAAATATAGTTAGTAACAGGCACATTTATAACTAACTACAAACTCAATGAATTCTAGCATAAATCTGGACTCGAAATCTGACAAAATAGTATTAGCCATCACTCTTTAAGAGAAGCAATTCCAAAACCTTTTGGAAATAAGAAAAGAAAAAAAGGAAAAAACATAAAACAAGTTCTGAATCTATCAGGAGATAAAGGTACAGCCAAGTTTGGAGGGAGATAGAAGTGGGGGGAAGAGAATGTGGCCAGCATATTTTTGTTTAAAACCTGGCCAAACTTCAGAAATAGCTTAGTCTAACTATAGGTGTGTAATAATTTTCCAAGTCAAATTATACCATTTAAAGCCAAAAGCCTTTGTTTCCAAAAAACAATAATAAAGTATTTTGCAGCTGACATCCCATTTGATCCTCTCATCTCTATTATTGGTAAATAGAGGAATAGCAGTTGAGCTATAGAACCAGCCATCTACACTGTTATATTCAGCTTGCCCATATATCAGGAACCCAGTATCTACCATGTGGCACCCTTCATACTTAGCCTGTGTCTTGTATCTAGTCATAAGAAAACCTAGGATTCTGATACATTTGAGTAAAAGACATTCTCTATCTGAATGTACAGAACAATCTTAACCTTGTATCTTTTCAGCCTCCAGATTAATACTATAATGATACTTCATATCCCATCTTCATCTCCCACACAACCAGCTCTGCCCACCTTCTGCTCTTGGTGACAACCAAGCAAGACTGTCACTGCTTTCTCTTACTTATGCCAAGGGGCTTGCCACAAACTTGGCCTACTTAGCTGCCCTGGCTTCCCTTCATGGTTCTGTCACACTATGTCAGCCCCCTAGGGCACTTGATGGCTTCACTTGGTCCATCTTACTTCTTCATCAGGACTGTTACCAATAAAACCTCAATATAACTTAACTCTGAGACTTCATGAGTTATGACAAGTCATGTATAAGACTCTAGGCATTCACACATAGTGAGGACAGACGAGGATGTTCTTAGGAGAGGAACACAAAGGTGCAATTCCTATATGCATCTGGTCATATAAAATAAAGTCCAGGAAATGGAAGCAAGAGAGATTATTTTCTTCATTACTGTTTTTTCTTTTCTTTTTGTCTTGTTTGTCTTTGGCAAGATAAAGTGGGCACAGTGGTACTCAATAGACACTATGTTGAAAATGAGCTATACAACTTGTGGGTGGGGACAGAAAGAAAAAACTGGGAGAGAGCAAGGGAAAGGGTGACATTGACCTAACTTATGTAACTGTAACCCCTCTGGTACATTACCTTTATAATAACAATAATTTTAATTTAAAAAATTCATTTTTGTTTCATTGTAGACAACTTCATTACCAAGTAATTTTCAGAGTTATGCAGTTTTCTGATAGAAATAGAATCAAAATACAGTTCTTATAACCTCTCCAATTTCATCCTACACATATGAATTGAATAGTCATTTATTAAGGTTTTAATTGAATCGTAAGTTTTTCTGACTAAAGATTTTAAATAAATTCCTGGTGTCATGCTTCTTGCCATCCACTATAAAAATTATGTTTCCATGGGAGACTTGTGAATGGAAGATCCATTAGAAAATGATAGCGGAATGTCACTTTTTAGTATTCTAGGCCAGAATAGGAAATCTTTTTTCCCCTAGAAACCATGTGCTGTCACAATTTAGATCTAGAAGCCCTTTAATATTCTGAGGCAGGTGTCCATCTGTCCACTTCTGTATGTGTGTCTATACCTACATCTGGTGCAAGGACCTCTGTGGCTATGCCTTTATTACGAGAATATACTGTCATAAAAGGTTGAGCTTCATTCCTTCATTTTGGAAAGAAGATCATTTACAATGTCACTCAACTGCATTCCCAGCAACACTTGAGCTTATGGCTATATCAAGCCTCTACATAGCTGTAATCCAGAATTCGCCATGATTCCTCACTATCCTCATAGTTAACTGAGTTGATGTCCAAAACAACTTGTACATTACTTAAAATTCATTTTCAAAATATTATATACAGTGTTTTGTAATTCATAACATTCTCCATTTACACCATCATCCCCACTCTACCCTTTCTATTGGAAGTTTCTAAATAAACAACATAACTACAACAAAATTCAAAAGAACCAACCAATAAAGGAAAAAATAAGAAATCTGGTTTTCATTAAAAGGGGGAAAAACTCTAAAATTAATGTTCTTTAAGAATGTAGGTTTTAGCTAGATTTTTTTTCCTAAAGAATTCCCCCAAAGATTCTTTTTAAACCATAATCAATTGAAAGTAAATATGGCCGGAAGCACTGGCATGTAGTTTGAATTTGGTTTGTATTGGATTTCTCCAAGGCCACTGAAGACTCCATAATTAATTGAGGCTGATATTTCTAAACCATGTTTCCCAGAGTTTATTTTCTTCTTATTATGAGATTCTTCCCATGTGTGTTTCTCTACAGGAGTCTTAGATTTCTCCTCCTGGTGAGGCCTCCTCTTACATGCTTTCCTGAAAGTATTAGAATAGAAACAAAGTATTTGAAAAGCACCCGTAAGAAATCTGATAGCAAGAGCCAAAGGAGCTGGACTGTGTTGAATACAGTATGTTTTGCCCAATTCACTTTTCCTCAAATGCCCTGGATGTCACAAACTCTCTGGATAATTCTTTGTGTCCAAGCCAGCCCTCTTCCAGAGGGTCACCTACAATCCTCACTTTCATATCTGAGCTGTTGTAGGAAAGGCAGAAGAACACACAATCCAAAGAAGCAGAAAGATCAAAGGAGGAGTCACCTAAGTGCCCTCTCAGAAAAGTCCCCAAATATCAGTATCATTTTTGTAAATTGGCTTCCTTCTATATTGGAAACATTCAATGACATCTCTTTATCTCCATAGCCTGGTATATTTCTAGGCCTGCCAATATTCCTTTGCATCATTATTGCCCATTATTCTCTTATACCAGGGATTGGCAGACATTTTCAGTAAAGAGTCAGAAAGTAAATATTAGACTTTGTGAGTCATTTGGTCTCTGTCACAACTGTTGGACACTGCCATTACAATAAGAAAGCAACCACAGACAAAAACAATAGCTGGGGTCCAAGAAGACGAAATTTATATATATTAAATCTGTGTATTCTAATGTTATAAAATTCACTCCTTTGGTCTTCTTCTCAACCATTTAAAAATGTATAATCCATTCTTGGATCTTTCCATATACAAAATCATCTGAAGACCCAATGTCACCCACTGCTTTTGCTCTCATGGCCTAGTATCATTCTTTGG